TTAAAAATGGAACACTTAGAAATATGAAAAGATAATTGAAAGGAAAAATTCCGCAAAAGTTTTAGATCAAGTTTAAACTGGTCACTTCACCAATGGCCAATGATTTAATCAATCATACCTACATAATGGAACCTCCATTAAATCCCCCAAACAAGGGTTTGGAGAGCTTCTGGGTTGGTGAACACTCCACGTGCCAGGAGGGTGGTTCTATCGAGCTGTAAGGGACTCTTCCAGACCTTGCCCTATCTACCTCTTCATCTGGCTGTAAATTTGTATCTTCTCTAGTGATAACATATCCTTTATAGTAAACCAGTAATAGTAAATTGTTTTTAAGTTTAAACTGTTCGCAATTGAAGAAAATAAGTTTGAAGATAGTACTTCACCAGAATGCAGCAAAATCACATACAGAGATTTTTTTTAAGAACAACTATTAGATATTGAAACTATATTGAGCAATTTCCAAATAAGTCTAATATGGACCTAAAAGAAAGTAGAGAGAAAAAAATAGTGGGAGAAATATCCAGAGACAATTACTGAACATTGCCCACACAGGAAGAAAGACTTTGTCCTCAGGTAGAAGTTGCACACAAGTGGAGAAGCTACAGGTAAATCAAAAATCAAAGAGAAAGGAAAAAAATCGTATATCTCTACCAGGGAAACAGATATACACGTATGTTTCTAAAAATGAATAACTCATTTGTCACAGTAAAAATGATAATGTATCTCTCAGCAAAATAGATGACAGAAAATAAATTGAATACTACCTTCAAAATGCAGAAGGAAGCTCCAATAGAATCTATATACTACAATTTAACTATTAGGGGTGAAAAAGCACAAGAATATTTGCAAATATACAAACAGTAGGAAATCTTACGACTTAATAGAGTTTTGTTGAAAAATTTTTTAAAATTCTAAAGGACATTTTTTCAACAAGAAGAAAAATTCATTTAGTCAGAAAAAGCTTCTTAACTTTGGATTAAGCCTGTAAAACTTCTTGGCTGTGGTTTAGAGTTGGCTCTTCAGTGTCAGATCAAACCACCAACTGTGCAGTTTGTCATGTGGTCCTACAGTTCCATGTTGTCCTATG